CTATTCGTTGTTTGGGCTTTCACTTTTCTAATAACGTTTCTTCAAATAATGTTTCTACTGTGAGACCGCAACCGACGCCACGTGACCACGTAATTGTAATACGATCGAGTACGACGATTTAATTTCCAAAAAAGAGATCGAATTGACTAATTAAACTAATTGGATTAAGTGAATTAGAGGGATAAGTTGGAAAAGGTGGATTTATAAGTTGGATAGTTAAATTAGAGTAATTAGATAAGCGGGATAAGACGGTTTTATTAAATTAGTTTGCGCATATGTACAAAAAGATATATATTATCTGACTCATCGCCCATAATAAAGTTTAAGTTTTTCGTTGTCACGGAATAAAAGTGATATTTCCAATGATCAACTAGAACTACGGTACAACCACCTGATTTTGAAACAGGGTTGCCGATCGAATTGTTCGAGAAGAAAAGATTACGCATACGATCTACGAGTCTTGAGGAAATACTGGAAGGTTCTAGCAATAAGCAAAGAAAAGAAGGTTCACGAAAGAATTACGTGTAAATGGAAACCTGAAAGACAAAGGAATAGATTGGCGAAGGCGTTGTTGTAACTTACCTCAAACCTTTTATGTTAGTTTGTTTATAAAAGAGTGCCACTTTTACGTTGTAATGAAGAGAGCTCCTTCGGGACAATAATAATAAATAAATAAATTCTATTACTTAATTCTCGCCCTGAATAACGATCCAATTAAACCCTGCTTAAATCCGTAATAAATAGTGTCGTTTGGCAAATTGGCGAGTCTGTCGCTAATCTCTTCCAATTCTCGCGTAACCTACGGTGGCTAAGCGAAATCGGCGTGTTAGATGTGGCCGGTGGGTTATCCGTAGGTAAGTGCTGTTATCCTCTTTGAGTCTTTCCTTCAACCTATTCTGATACTAACTCTTTGCTTCTCTTGTCTGCCTCAACCCAGAATTACAATATGTCGAATCAGGGTTGGAACTCTTCTTTTACGTTAACGGTCTCCTTGGTTACGTGACTTATGGCGAACGATCAATTTGCGGTTTAGTGTTTTACGGGCGAACGATAGTGATGACAATGAGATTAACGATAGTTTATTAGTTTGAATTGGATAATAATTTCACTTTAATTATGGGTCAGGTACTTAGTTTTATTATGCAAATGTATTTACTTGGAGTATCGTCTATGCATTTTCCCTGGGCGAGAAGCCCTTTATTTATAATAAATGAATTTATTTTACATTCGAGGTTAACTTCTTCTACATCACTTATTTACACAACATCATTGTTAAAACCCTTATCCCTAATATGATAAAGAAGAAACGGATATTCTATATATCGTCGATCCACCCGAAGTAATAAAAGTAATAGAAGAAAAGTAAATTTTTTTTTACTTTTCATGTGACCAATTAATGTCGACGTGTAATCATGACATCGGTAGGACCAATTTTAGGGCTCATAATGGACATAATTATAACGCTAAATCATGATTATTACGTCCCTGGCGAGTTGCCTTAATGCATATCGGTTTATTCTTGAATAATTTCCTTTAAACCGTTAAATTCACCCCGTAACATCGTGCAATATGCTTTATCCCTACACATAGACGGTCCTATAAGCTTTAAATTTTGTTCTA